TAGAGTCTCTACTTATTTTAGAAGAGCTTTAACTTTTACTAGAAAAAAGTTAAGTAGTATAAGTATACTATAAAGCTTCTTATATATAAACTAAGATATATTATTATAGTTATATAAGGTAGAGAAAGCTATTATAAAGAGTAATATTATAAAGTCTTACTATATATAGAGTATAGGTTTACTAGAATTATATATTATAGTTATCTAGCTAAGTTATAGTAGAGCTATTATAGAATTACTTACTAGTGTTATAGCAAAATCTACTTTTGTTTTATCTTCTCTAATATCTATAAATTTAACTTTATTAATATTTATAGCTACTTATACTATACTTATTATAAGTAATACGTTTAGAAGATTAGCTAGCTTAACTAAAGCGTTACTAGAGTAGAGTTATAATAGATCTACTATTATCTTCTAGAAGAACGTATTAATATCTATAGTATTAGAAGTAGGCTTTATAAAGTCTAATTTGTCTATAGCTAGCTAATTACTAGATATAGTATTAATAATTACTTTGTCTAAAAGTGCTATTACGTTTAGAAACTTAATAGAAGGCGCCTTTTTACTACTTTTATATATAATAGTATCTTCTACCTAGTTTTCTATACTACTAATTTTTAGTAAATTATCTAAAGTTTACGTAATAGGTGTAGCCTTCTAAATAGAACTTAGACTACCTATATATTATTACTTTTTACTTTTATATTTATCTAATATTTACTAAGTAGAAGGTTATCTAGGTTTTAATATTTATAGTTTAGGTCTACTACGCTACTAGCTAGGATCTTCTTAGTAGAGATATTATAGTAGAAAAGGTATTCTTAAGTTATATATCTAGAAATATTAAATTAGTAAAGAGTTAAAAATAAAATAAAAATAACTTTAAATATATTAAATTATTAAGAATTAAGTTTCTATAAATAAAAACAACTCTTAGAAGCTAGGTAAATAGAGTAGTAATATAATAAAAGTATAAGATAGAAATCTATAGCTAGTTCTAAGAAATCTAAATAGAGTAGAAGAAATAGAGTCTCTAAACCTTAGAAAGCTTACTAGTTAAAAAGTAAAGTTTTAAAATCTTAGAGTAGAATCTAAAAGTTTTAGATCTAGTAAAGATATAGATTTAGATAGCTAGAGGTATAGAAAGAATACTAGCTTAATAGAATCTTACGTTACTAGAGTTATAGATAGAGATTAATATCTAAGAATATCTACTACTATAGTAATAGAGCTTCTATCTAGCCTATTTAGCTATCGCTAGTGTATATTTAGTATATTTAATATAAGAAAATAATATATTAAATCTAGTATATAATAATAAAGAAAAATATTACTATAGTAGATATATTAGTTATAGTTAGATCGCTATACTAGAAGATAAAGAATAGAATAATTATAGTTAGCAAACTAGAAATTAGATTATAATATAACTATAATATAATATATTAAAGCTACTTTATAATATAATTACAATTTTATCTATATAAAGTTCTATATATAAAAAGAGCGTTATAGGTATAAATAGAAGCGTTTAGGTATAGTTTTATATATATAGATAGAACTAGAAAAGAGCTCTAAAGTAAATAGAGCTAGAAAAAGCTATTATAAAATAGCGTCGCGCGCTATTAATAAAATATAATACTAAGAAAAAAAGAAGTAACTAAGCTAGAGTGTATATATACTTAAAAAAGCTATATAACATATCTAGATATAGAAGTATAGTAATAGACTTAGAATTGTAATATAAGTGTAAAGGTAAATTATAAAGATTCTAGAGGTATAGATAGCTATAAAATAAAGCTTTTTAGAATCTTAAGATATAGGTAAATACTATATATATATTAGGTGCTATTATAAATATCTAAGTAGATAGGTATTAAGAGAGAAGGTTATATATATAATATAAATATAGAAAAAGATTTATAAAGAAGAAGTAGAGCTACTAAGCTAGGTAGTAGTCTAAGCTTAAGTACCTCTATTAACTCTATAATCTAACCTTCTACCTATTTTAACTTTACTTACACTTTAACGCTACTTATCTATACTACCTTTTTTCTCTATACTTCTTTAATTCTTTTTTTAGCTTTTAATAATTTAATTCTTAATAATTACTAGTATATCTATTATTAATTCTATACTCTACTCTTACTTAACACTTTATCTCTACTATAGCGCGTAGTAACTAGAGCGCAAAACTAAATTCTATAAGCTAATTAATAAGTACGCCTAAGCTAAAAAAGTAAAAATTAAAATATAACTTATAGAAACTAAAAGCTTAATTATAGATACTACTAGCTATAATACCTAAACTTTTACTTTTATAGTAACCTACGCCTAGTACTATATTACGTAAACGTAAACTAACTTCTACTTTACTAAATAACTTTTTATTTATCTAGTAAGATAAGTTTCTAGTACCTATAGATCTAGAGATTACTAAGATAAGATTTAACTTAGATAAACTATAAGTAGAAGAGATTATAAGTTATTAGATAGTTTACTTCTTTATTATACTAATAAATTATAGAACTCTAAGGCTCTTAATTTTAAAAGTAACTATAGCTTAAATAATAATAAAACTAGCTCTAAGAAGAAGAAAAAGCGCGTAGATAAGTATTATAATACTAAGTAAAAAGAATACTTAACTAATACACGTATATTAAGTATATAATATAGATACTACCTATTATACCTTTAAATAATCTCTTCTAAAACCTACTTTAAGGTAATTAAGTATTACTTTAGTAGTCTTAATAGAATTAGATTAAACTATAAGATCTTAACGTACGCTAAAAAGCGTACTAAAAGATTATACTTATAATAGATATTTAATATATATAAGAATATAAAAGTATATAAATTAGTATTTTTCTAATAAGCTTTTACTAATAATTTAGAAAAGCTATATTAAGAAGTATATTAAATAGAAGCTACTTCTTACTAAAATTACTAATATTATTACGCTTAATAGATACTTTAATAAAGTATATAATATAGTAAATTTTAAATTAGTCTTTTACTTTATATAAACTATAGATGTTTTAGACTCTATAAAAGAAGCTAGACGCTATTATAGAAGTAAGTATATATATTAGTTTTTTTAGAGTTTTTACTAATATAATATTAGCTATCTTTATTAATCTTACTTTATCTACTAAGATATACCTTAACTATAAAGCTAACCTCTACTTAAATTAACGCTATAATAATAAAAGCTATATAGCGCTATAAAAGTAGCTTAGAAAGATTAAAGAGTTTAAGTCTAAGCTATCGCTAAGTAAATTTCTTCTTATACTAGTAAATAAAAACTCTAAGAAGCGCTCTAGTTCTATTACTTAGCTTATCTCTTTTCTTAAGAATAATAATATATTCTTTATAGCGCTATTAAGCTATAAGACTAAGAAAATTAAAAAGAGAAAGAGATAGCTAGAAGAGAAGATACTTTTAATATTAATTAATCTCTACTTTAAAGCTATAAGTTAAAATACTTAAGATATATATTAATCTTAGTAAGTTCTAGAATTTAAGAATAATAATAAGCTAGTAGTATAAGTATATAAGTTAATAGAGAAGCTATTTAACTTAAAAAAGATTAGTGCTACTAATAAAGTTAAGAATAATAATAAGATAGAATTTAATAGTAAGACTATTTCTATTTCTAGTAGAGAGTTATTAGGTTTAAGTAATACTAACTCTAATAATAATAATAAGAAAAAGAAAGGTAAAGAGAATAATAAAGCTACACTAGTAGAGTAGTAATATTTATTTTATAATTTTTATTTCTATTATAATTTAGTACGCTGCTTATAACTCTATAATAGATTCTAGATACTTTTTTAATACCTCTAGTAGAGTTAGAATTATACTAAAGTTTACTTAGTAGAATATAAAAGATAGAAGTAATAGATAGCCTAATAGCATGTATATAAAGATATATAACTAGATAATAAATAGCTAAGAAATTTAGTATATATATAACCTCTTTAACTTTTACTTTATTAATATTATACTAATTTCTATTTAATTAAATATCTTCTTATTACTATAGTACTACTATTAGTATATTATAAAGTTAGTAGCTATTACTTATATACCTAGATATGCGCTAGTTAGATTCTACTAATATATTATTATTACGTATATAGCTTTTAGAGTAAATAATCTTTATATAATATTACTATAATCTTTATAACGTAATTACTTATACTTCTAATATTTTATGCGCTAGGTATATATTTAAGAAACTATAATTATATATAAATAGCGTTCTTTATAATAATATTTAGCTAATAATAGTTTAAAAATTATCTCTAAATTAATCTTATAATATAAACTATTACTACAGCATCTTTATAAAAAGCGCTTTCCTCTTCTATTATTAGCTGCGCAAAGTAATTGCAAAAAAGATATTATAAGATATAATAATAGCTGCGCACAGTACTATTTCTATATATAATACTACTTTTATGCTAATATTAGCTAAGCTAACTATATTAGAGGCATAAGCATTAACTAAGTATATTAAGTTAAAATTGTTGGGAAACTATTGCCGAAACCCCCCCTACACCCTTATGGAACGGTTCGCATTGATTATGCTTTCCGTGAGCTTCGGCCGGGCAACCTGCGGACCTCTGGAAGACGTGAAGCCGGAGTCACATCAGGCGGAGCAACACCCAAACACTGACTTGCTCAAACTAGGCAGGGAGCGGTTCGCACGTGACGATAATTAGCGGAGCTGCGCACGGACCCGTCGGTCGGTCGCGACTTCCAGAAAACTTCCGCGACTCACTTAGCTGTCACTCCGCAAACACGTCTGTCCGCGCCTGCAAACAAGCCTGCCTGCTTGCCTGCGCCTGCATCGAGGGGCTCTCTTACTTCCATCTTTCCTTGTCTCTCATCCGCCATTTCCCATTGATGGAGTAACGTCTGGCGCAAACATCGGTTCCAACTCTTACACGGCAGCCTGACCCCAAGTCGCGAACTTGTCGGGCCTTACCATGGGCGACCCCGCAACCGATCCCAAGGCGGCGCCGCTCGCCGACGAGCTGAGAGAGCTTGCTGTGTACGTGCGAAATGCCTAGGCTCTGAACTCATACTAACGTAAGCAGGTCGCTCCCCACGACGGCCTTCCCGAAGAACTTCTTCTGCGCCCTATGTAACGAGCTTGCGTTCGACTCATACAAGCTGATCTGCTGTGCTAAATCCATATGCTCACCATGTGCGTACACCATATGCTGCTGCCGGAGATTCTCGCAGGCGCTAACGCGGCCCAGGTCAAGGAAACCTCCAGTTCCCGACAGCGTGTCCCTCGTGCGACCACTCACCGCTCGAGGCCGACTCTTGCACACCGAACAAGTCTCTGCGTAACACGATGCGAGTGTGGCTACAAAAACAGAAGAAGAAGGAAGAGGCCAAGGCCGCGGCACAGGCAGCTACCCCGCCCGTCGAGGTGACACCGGCCGCGCCTGAGGTCCTGCCGGTCGGTGATGGTACAGAGCAGCCCGTAGACAGTGTTGAGGATGCGCACAAGGCAGAAGGCGGTGCTGCTGAACAAGCTGCTGGTTCTGCCGAGGCCCCAGAAGAGGCTGGACAGCGCGCCGGCTCGGCCGCGGCCCAACCAAAGGAGGTAGGTTGTGAAAGTCTTTCATTTCGCTCTTGCACGAGCATGCGGGTACTGTACAATCAGAAGAAGAAGAAACCAAGCAGAAGAGACATTGTCGGGCCTCTAAGCATTGCAAAACATGGTTGCCACACGTGCCAATGAGCGGAGATGCTTTCCACTCCACTCGCGCTCTTGCTGACCAAATCAGGAAAATGCTTCTCCTAAAATTGAGACTGAGCGGCGCGGTAGCACCGCCTCCCAGAGCGTGACCAACAACACGGGACCTTCAGCGGCCGACAGCTCGACCGACGAGCAAAAAACCTCCAACGGAACTAATGGCATGATGGGCAACAACCCGCCGATGAGCGGCGTGCAAAGCCAGATGGGCTTCGGCTTCCCCAATCAGGGCGGCTTCAGCAATGGCATGGCTTGGAACGGGATGCCTAATATCATGGCCAACGGTGGCTGGAACGGCATGAATCCTATGGGTATGTCTTTAGAATAATCTTGCCTTCCTTGCAGGCGACTAATGCCTTGCTAGATTTCAACAACATGGACGGAATGTACGGCAACTTTGGAGGGAACATGGGCTTGGGCATGAACGACATGTCTGCCATGAATATGATGCAGTACGGTGGCGGCTATGGCAATGGATGGAATGGTATGGGCAGTGGCTATGGAAACTTCAGCGGGCCCAATCAGCTGGGTGGCTTTAATCAATCTGGAGCATATCCCGAGATGATGAACCAGTTTCCCAAGAATAATTTCCCAAACCAGAACCACAATCGTTTCCATGCCAATCAAGGAGGAGCACATCCTCAGCGAAACAACAAGAATGGCAGCCAAGGTGGCTTTGGTCCTGGTTGCCAGAATGCGCCTGGTCGTCCGGGCAGCCGTGGCCGTCCTTTGCAAAACGTACGTTCAACCCACCAACGAAAGCTACCGAACCCATACACGGGAATCGGCCAAACTTGGAAACCAAAAACTGACCCGATTCGTTCTACACAGCGTGACGACCAGTCGCCTGACGGAAATGCCAACCCTGCTCCTGAGGTGAAGGCCGAGGGCGAACAGTCGAAGGCGTCCGCAGATCCAACTGAAGAAGGTAAGGACATCGTCGACGATGTTCCAGTATCGCTCGAACCACAGACTTCAGCAGATGGGGTTGGTGCTGGCAATGCTAGCGAAGCTGCTGGCGACGACACTAACCAGGCAGGGGGTGGTCCACAATGCGAGACTCAAGACGGCGGTCTGAAGCCTATACAAACTGTAGACTCTGGCGATGCAGACATGCGAGAGTACGACCAGTCTATGATGGGCCCTGGTGTGCCATACCCTCAAGGAATGATGAATCAGTTCCCGGATCAGCACATGAATGCAGCCTTCGACCCCAGCATGAACATTATGGGATACAATGGCAATTATGGTCCACGTGGCGGCTTCAGTAACGGGGCTTATGGTGCGGCGACAGTTCTGACAGGTCAGCCAACGGAACCGATTGGTGTCGGTGTTGCAGGTGCGCCAACTGGACCACGCGCGATGAGAGAAGGTCGACCCAACACTGGGTTCTCGAGTCGTGCCCATGGTGGGCGATATGCAGCCCCGCCACCACCCAAAAGCGTCGCGTCTGCTCAAGATGCGACAGCTGCTAGTCCACAGCGTAGAGTTCGATCGTAAGTAGATTTGATGGAGAATGAAGCACAAGCAGTGACTGACAATGACGCAGGCGGTCACCTCTCCGAGATGAGAGTATGCGGGTCAAGGAACGCTCACCCACGCCTTCTCGACCACAATCACGAACGAAGGGTGATGACAGAAGTGAGCAACGTGAGCGATCGCGTTCTGCAGATCGTCATTCTCGTCGCGATGACCGCGGTAGATCCGTTTCGCCATTGAACAACGAATACGAGGATCGCAAAGACCGCAAGCACCATCGATCGTCACGCTATGATGACCGTGATCCGGAGTATGATGATCGTTACCGCGACGAGAAGGGCAGCCGGGGTGACCGTACACGAACTGCATCGGCAGACTCCAAGTATCGTAGCAGCCGTCGTGACAAGGACAAGCACCGTTCATCGCGGTCCCACCGCGACCGGAGCAAGGAGCATCGTCGTCGCCATCGCTCCCGATCCCCTCGTGAGGGAGACAAATATGAAGACGAAGAAGCGTACGGCAATGGCGAAAAGGATTCTGATGGCAGTTCACGACGCAAGCACAGGAGCGGGCGCGACCGGTCACGCGACAAGGAACGTGAACGAGACCGCAAGGATCGTAAAGAGCGAGAGCGAGACCGCAACTATGATTACGACCGCGAGAAGGATCGCTCCCGCGACAAGGATAAGGACAAGGACCGTAGGCGGCGTCGCGATCGTGAAAGTGAAGACGATGAGCGTGATTATGGGGACGACAATCACCGCTCTTCACGCCGTAGTCGCAAAGATCGCGATCGCGAGCGACGCGAGTACGATGATCATGAGCGCAAAGACAAGCCATCTCAATTGGAGAGGGAAGAGGATGTCGTCGGTCAGATGATGAAGAAACGCGCTATGTCTCCGCCCTTGAACGCACCAACCGGGCCCTCGGCGAATGGCTTCAGCATCAAGGGTCGCTCAAAGAACGCGGTCATGCCTCCACCGGCCCAACCTCCTACCGGCCCACGAGCTTTCCAGCCACCCAAGGGTCCGGCTGCTGATCGAAATAAGGACCGAAGCGGCGAAGCTAGGGATCACCGTCGTAAAACCAGCGCCACTTCTACATCGACTATACCAACCGGCCCTTCATCCAAAGACAAAGAAACGTTCCAAGACCATTATGCCGCTGAGCGAGAGCGCAACGCCCGAGAGCGAGACAGTCGCGAACGTGTAGAGAAGCCATCCAGCTCCAGCAAGTCCCTTCAATCACGCATCTCTCCTTCATCCCGCCCTACGCTCTCGAGTAAGCGTAGCAGAGACGACTTTGACGACGAGGCACCGGTACCCACAGGCCCCAAAGCTGATGCCAAGCCTCCCACAGGCCCCGCCGCGCATCGTGACAAGCGCAGGAAGTCTGGTGCGACGGGTGACGACAACATTGCCAGCCTCTTTACAGCGGGACTGCGTAAGAACGCCAAGGCTAGACGTGGTGGTGTGAGGACTGAAGGCGACGTCGAGCGCGAGATGATGGAGCGGGAGCGGGAAAGGCGGTAAGATGGCTCTTTTGGCCATATGCGCACCGGTTTCCAGACGGGTCTTTTGGGCTATGACAAGGCACGATATGGCTACGAGACAGTGACATGCTCAATCTGGGGGAACTGCTGGGGGAGACCTGAGGTCCTTTCTCTACTTATCTGTATTATACCCTTTGAGACATGAGTCAGAAGATATGGACGAACATGTATGCTGTATACGCAGTAATCAGCGTAGGCTTAGGTACGATAATTAAGAATTCTTGTCCGGAGATGGATACGTTGTGGAATTGTGGTATCGTTTATTCTGTGAAATCTGGGATGTTGGGACGAAACCGTCACAGGGTTTGAAGCTTCAACATATTTACCGCCTGTGGTTTACAAACTCCTTCTGCTCACCACCCAATCTCGATGCGACGACAGTCGCTTCCCTAATTGCCTTTGCGACGGCGCCCCTGACGCCATCTTCCTCGAGAGACATGAGCCCACCGATGGTGCAACCACCAGGCGTTGAGACTTTGTCCTTCAGCACCGCTGGATGCTCGCCGTTTAGCACGAGCCCAGTGGTTCCCCTCATGGTCTGCGCAGCCATCATCTGTGCCTCTGCTCTTGGTAGGCCCATGGCAACCGCACCATCGGCCGCCGCCTCCAGTATCAGTGCGAAAAAAGCTGGACCCGAGCCACACAGCGCGGTCGCGGCATCCATGTTCGCAGGAGGGAGGTTCGTAACGCGACCGATGGAGCTGAAGACGAACTCAACGAGCTTGTACTGCGCCTCACTGAGGGGTGGGTCCGAAGTCTGGATCACAGACATGGACTCTCCTACGAAAGACGCAGTGTTGGGCATGACCCTCACCACGCGACAAGCGTTTTCTGTCTTCGCCGGCCCATGGGGATACAGGAAAGCTTCAATCTGCTCCCGCGTCACGCCTGCCAGGATGCTGACCAGCACCTTCCCCTTCAGCGCCTCCCCAACGCCCTCCTCGCCCAGAATCGTCTTGAAGCCATGTGGCTTGCAGCTCAGCAGTACGATGTCAGCTTCCTGCACGCCCTTGAGGTTCTGGTTTGTGAGCGTCTGCAGGGGGAAGTTGTAGTGGCCGAGGGCTTTGCGGACGTTTTGTTCGGCGGGGGCCCATTGGTCGCAGGCGATGAAGTTGGAGAGGTTAGGCACGTCTTTAGAGGCAGAGGCAGAGGCGGGATCGAGCGAGGCTCTCGTCCTGGCAGAGGCGAGCGAGGCCATGACGCCGCCCATTATCGCGATGCCCATGGTTCCTGGGCTTGTTAGCGATGGCTGTGGTTGGGGGGTGGGCCAGACGACGTGCCAGAGCCGAGGACAGTCAACGTGAGAGGCTTGGCTTCTTGTGTGGTCGCCATGGTGGATGAGTGCCGTGGGCGTCTTGGTGGGCACTGTTGGGCAAACGCGAAGGACGAGGGCTGCTGCGTTTCGGGAGCGCGAGATCGGCGCCTTCCCCACGTTCCAAGGTTGGCTTGGAGAAATCTTGAGCTATGGCCATGGCCGACGATATGCGCGCACCTCCCCAAGCTCTCCGCCTGACGCTCCACACGACCGTGCCGTCCAGACCACCAAGACTACCGCCGGGCCCATAGTAGCCAAAGACGTACGCAAGCCCGAGCTCCACCATGGCCGACCCGTTCGAGGTCCGTCAACGCTTCACGACGCTGCTCTCCCACCTCAGCGCATCCCACACGTCGCTCCAAAAGGCCGCTCTCTACGCGTTGAAGAACCGTGAAATGGACGAAGACCTCCACTCCTGCATCCTCGAGCAACTCGAACGCACCAACATGAACACCCGCGCGAACATCATGTTCTTCATCGAATGCCTCTGCGAATACGCCGTCAGGGACAACAACTCGGGCGACGCGAGCGCAATGGGCTACGTCCGCATGTTGCAAAGAGACATACTGGCTGTCGTAGAATGCGTCGTAGGCGAAGAAGGCGCCAACATCCGCGTCGTTCGCAAAGTCCTCAAGACGCTTGAGAACCTGTCCATCCTCATGAAGGAGACTGTCCAAGAACTCGAGGCCGTACTGAAGTCGAGAGAAGTCGCGCATCCCTTCATGGCGACAGATACCTCCGACCCCAAAGACAGCTTTGTGGCTTCTGCCGGTCGGAATGGAGGGCAAAGAATGGACAAACGTCAGATTGAACAGAGGATTGAGGAGGACAGGGAGAGACACAAGAGGTTGCGGGAGAGTATCTGGGCGGTGCCAGGAGACGGCTATGAGGAGCTGGAGAAGCTATGGGATGAGGCCAGCGACATCAACGAGGACGACTATGTTACCGCGAGGGAAGATGCCGAGGAGAGGAGGAAGGTCATTGAGTTCGGATAGAATCCTGACAAAGACCGAGAGAAAATTGAGGCATGGGAAGCGGCCAGAGCTGCTGCGAACGAGGAACAGTCAAGCGACGATGAGGGTAGCCAAAGTTCCAAGACCGTGTCAGTCGGAAATGGTTCCTGGCATGGTGGGCAGGCGGTAGCTGATCTGCATTTACGGCGTTGATTGGGAGCGACAGACATTGCCACAGCATGGCCTAGGCGTTGGGGCAGAGATACCACGGGCTTGTCTCATGACGCCCACATTGTTGTTGGAATTCTGAGTAAACTGTATACATCCATGGTCATTCCAAACATATCTGTACACGCCCAAACGTAATGCTATGATACAGTATTCGTCCCTCTCTCCCAGATCCTGCTCTTCGCCGCTTATAGCATGCCCCTACTCCATGACAACTGTAGCACCCAGCGCCTTGAGCGTCTCGACAATCTTCTCCGCCTCCTCCTTTGGCACACCCTCCTTCATCATCTTCGGTGCTCCCTCAACGAACTTCTTGCTGTCCACCAAACTCAAGCCTAACATGGCCTTGATCTCCTTGATCACCTTGGGTTTCGCGCCGGCGTCGAATTTCTCGAGCTTGAGGTTGAAAAGTGTCTTCTCTTGAGCGGCGGGCGCGGCCTCTTCTTCCTCGACGGGGGCTGCGGCCGCGGGACCGGCACCTCCTCCGGGACCAGCGACAAATCCTCCCATAGGCATGTCGGGTATGTTCAGACGAGTCTGGCGAAGTGTTAGTGGGACAACCTGAACGTCGCTGCATCTATCATCGGTGGCGAAACGGTTTAAAGCCAGGCCTGTCTCCCTTAAACACAATGCAGGTGTGAAGACGGGCATGCTCTACATATTGTATGCGTGCCACTACAGGCTTCCGATGGTCGCCTTCCCACCCCCGTAGCATGTTACCGTACCTTTAACGTCGATACCAAGTCTGCAGTCTCCAACAGAGTCAATTGACTAATCTGATCCACGATCGTCGCAATCTTTGGATTTGTGGGAGCTGCCGCATCTGACTGCCATCTCCGCTGTATCCTCTGCTGTGTGGCTCCAACGGTCGGTCGTACGTATGCGGACTGCTTCGCGGTGCAGATACAGCGCCTGAGCGCGCGGGATGCCGGTGCTGCCATTGTGCTGGAGGGGAAGGCGTGAATCGATGGTGATGATTGTACGTTGCGGGCGTGCCTGCCATCATGAGATTTTGCGGAGCGGATTACGACTAATTGGGTTGGCGTCTTGGCGCGTTCCCAGACCCGCAAAAAAGTTAGAGAACTTCGAGGCCTTCAGACATCACCGCCACAACACCACCTCCCGGACATACTGAAGCGTCGAAACTATGGGAAGGCGCCCCGAAGTCCTATCACAACCCCACCCTTGCAGAAATGGAACGAATCAATACCCGCAAGTCCGGTAAAATGGTCGACATCAACACGCTTGCCACGGAAGCCTTGAAGCCCGAATCCACAGACGACATTCTTGTTCAGCATGGAAGTCTCCTCACAGAGCTATGCGCGCGGTGGGTACAGTCTGGCTCAAAGACCGACGCGAAAGTGGCGGCCTTTGGGCGATTACTACCACTTGCGCCTCACCTCGCGGAGCACGTGGAACGATTTCTGGCCCATACTTCTGATTCTCCAATCATTGGAACGATATCATCGATCGAAATCATGAGCGCTTCCAGTGATGTTGATCTTGTCGAAGTTCTTCTTGGAACATTCCGACTCGTCAGTTACGACTGCAAGAACTTCACTAACTATGTACGACCGCTTGCTTTGGAGCGCCTGTCTCAGCACACGAGTCGCGTTGTACGGTACCTGGCCATACGGACGCTTTGTTTATACGCGCATACGGCGGATTTTGCGACCCAAGAAATGATCAAGCGATTCCTTGGAGAGGAGGAGATCGAGGGGCCATGGGAAGGTCAGCACATCGACTACCGCTTTTTGTCGCTTTGGGAAGAGAAGAGGTGGAAACATCTACAGAGCAAGATTGGCCAGGAGATTTCCGGGATAGACACGTACGCGAACGCTTTATATCAGGACCTATCGCCGTATACAGTCAACGTCAATGGTGTTCTACTGCCTCGGTTGGACGGAAGCCCATCCCAAGAGAGGCCTGCCCAGCTCGTCTCGACAGCCACCACAGAGGAAAACCTAAAGAAGATCGCTCATGGACTTCTTGGGTCCAGCCCTATTCTACTCACGGGCCTCGCGGGCTCGGGCAAGACTCTTCTTACGCGTCATCTCGCATGGCAGCTCAACAAGCTCGACGGAATGGTTACCCTTCATTTGAACGAACAAAGTGACGCAAAGCTACTGATTGGAATGTACACTACCGGAGCTAAGCCGGGAACCTTTAGCTGGCGCGCAGGAGTACTCACTACCGCTGTTCGGGAAGGCCGGTGGATCTTCATCGAGGATCTCGATCGGGCGCCAAACGAGGTTATCAGCACGCTGCTACCCCTCATAGAACGCGGTGAACTACTCATACCCAGCAGAGGAGAGACCATACGAGCAGCGCGTGGGTTCCGCATCATCGCCACTATGCGAAGCACCCTTAACCCAAGAGGCCAGGAGATCATACCCCGTCAGAACATGATTGGCCATCGATTCTGGAAATCTGTCACAGTGCAGATGCCTCATCTAGAGGAGTTCCGTCAGGTGATACACGCAAAGTATCCTGCGTTGCAGAAGCATCTTTCCAGCATCATGGAGGTCTATGCACGGCTATTGGACCTGTACTCAGATCCCAAATTCTCATCCGAGAATGGTACATCACTTCGAGCCATGACACCACGAGACTTACTCAAGTGGTGCGACCGGATCGCGGTACTTCTTGGACAGGCTGCATCATTCAGCAACGCGCAAAAGGACGACATATTCATGGAGGCATTCGATTGCTTTGCGGGAAGTCTGCGTACCGAAGGCGCGCGTTCGAAGGTCATGGCCTGTGTGGCAGAAGAGTTACACATCGACCCTCAGCGCAGAGACCACTTGTTAAGGAACCGCGAAGTCAAGCTTCAGGTGCCTTCCAAGACTACATCATCCGGCACTATTCAGATTGGACGAGCGCGATTGTCTAAGCATAAGTCTTCTAAGAAATCGGGTCCAGCACGGCCATTTTCAACCAATGACTACACCCTACGCCTGCTTGAGAAGGTGGCCGTAGCAGTCGATCGTCAAGAACCGCTTCTTTTAGTGGGTGAGACGGGCACTGGAAAGACAACCTGCATCCAGTATCTGGCTGAGCAGCTTGGTCGTAAGCTCGTAGCCTTCAACTTGTCACAACAAAGCGAGAGCGGCGATCTGCTGGGTGGCTTCAAGCCTGTCAATGTACGCAGCCTTGTCATTCCACTCAAGGACGAATTTGATGAAATCTTCGATACCACCTTCTCACGAAAGAAGAACTTGCGATTCATCGAAATGCTCGGAAAACGTGTTGCGAAGGGCGATTGGAAGCGCGTTTGTTCACTGTGGCGCGAGGCTCTGAAGATGGTTGATGCAGCCAGGAAATCACACGAATCGCAAACGTCATCTCCGGATCCTGATGGTGGTCAGCCTAAAAAGAAGCGAAAGATGGACTCGCTACCTGCCAACTTCCCGACAGCAAGATGGGAGAAATTTGCAGCTGATCTGCACGACTTGGAGGCGCAGCTTGCTAGTGGCTCGGAAGCGTTTGCCTTTTCTTTCCTGGAAGGCAATATCGTCAAGGCAGTTAGGAATGGCGATTGGGTATTGCTTGATGAGATCAACTTGGCGTCTTCGGACACACTAGAGGCGCTTACTGATCTTTTGGGCGGCGGCCCAGATGGGAACCCATCGATACTCCTGACCGAGACTGGCAATGTCGAACGTGTGGTCGCACATCCCAATTTCAGAGTGTTCGCTGCGATGAATCCGGCCACCGATGTAGGCAAGAAGGACCTCCCACCGGGCATCCGATCGCGATTCACTGAGCTATACGTCGAGAGTCCAGACGGTGACGAAAAGAGCTTGCGCAACATCGTGGAGAAATATCTCGGCGGAGACGGAACAGATCCAGCAATCGTGCGCATAGCACGCGATGTCACTACTCTGTACCTTGAGATTCAAAAACTTGCGAAAGCGAACATGCTCGTCGATGGCGCAGATCAAAAAGCCCACTTCAGCCTGCGAACTTTGACACGGACGTTGTCATACGCCAGGGATATTGCGCCGCTCTGTACTCTCCGTCGGGCTCTGTATGAAGGGTTTCACATGAGTTTCTTGACTTTCCTAGGCAAGGCTTCAGAAGACCTGATCGCTCCGCTTATTACCAAGCATCTTTTCCCGCAAAAGACTTCCGTAAAGGCTGAGCTCGGAAAGCCACTTCAGCAACCATCAGATGGTCGAGGTTACGTCAGACAGGGCCATTACTGGCTCCGACAGGGTGTGCATGATGTGGAGGAGCAATCGCACTACATCATCACCCCCTTTGTTCAGCGCAACATGGACAACCTCATTCGAGCTGCTTCCACACGAAAGTACCCAGTGTTGATCCAAGGCCCTACCTCATCCGGTAAGACAAGTATGATTGAGTACCTAGCCAAGCGATCAGGGAACAAGTTCGTTCGCATCAACAACCATGAGCACACCGACTTGCAAGAGTACCTAGGGTCGTACATCTCCGGACTTGATGGAAAGCTCACATTCCAAGAGGGTATATTAGTACGAGCTCTACGTGAGGGCCACTGGATCGTTTTGGACGAACTCAATCTGGCGCCTACAGATGTTCTCGAAGCTTTGAATCGCCTGCTCGATGACAACCGAGAGCTACTCATTCCAGAAACACAAGAGGTCGTCCGGCCACACGAAGACTTCATGCTCTTCGCCACACAGAACCCGGCTGGTCTCTACGGAGGACGTAAGGTGCTTTCAAGAGCTTTCCGTAATCGTTTCCTGGAGCTACACTTCGACGACATACCGGTAGAAGAGTTGACGGAGATTCTACATCGCCGTACCATGATTCCGGAAACATGGTGCAAGCGGATTGTCAAGGTATATCGGGAGCTTTCCACACTTCGACAGGAGAACCGTATCTTTGAGCAGAAGAGTTTTGCGACACTACGAGACCTATTCAGATGGGCTCAGCGCAAAGCAGACACAATCCAAGACCTAGCCAACAACGGTTACATGCTTCTTGCTGAACGCGTGCGCAAAGAGGATGAGCGAGTCGCCGTCAAGAAGATTCTAGAGACCGTGATGAGCGAAAAGGGCCCGAGGGTGACGATAGACGAAGAGCGACTGTTCAGATCTGACAGCCTATCGAACATCGAAGGGCTTGGCAATGGTATGGCTATGGTCACCACTGATATCGTTTGGACCCGCGCCATGCGTCGCTTATCGGTTCTTGTTGCACATGCTATCCGAAACAATGAACCGGTTCTACTTATCGGAGAGACTGGTTGCGGAAAAACGACTGTCTGCCAATTACTCGCAGAGCAATTCAACAACCGACTCCACATCGTCAATGCTCACCAGAACACTGAAACTGGAGACTTGATTGGTGCGCAACGACCGATCAGAAACCGGGCCGCTATTGAGGAATCAGTAAGAGAGCAAGTGCTTGAAGCACTCCATGAGACTCTGGGCGAACGCCTTCAGGGTGACCCTGGCTCGCTGGGTTTCGAAGAGCTTATGACGCTTTACGACAACATCACTAATGACTCACCCAGTGCAATCACTGATGAGCTTCGCCAATCTATACAATTCAGTCGAGCTAAGGCAAGTGCCTTGTTTGAATGGGCGGATGGTAGCTTGGTGTACGCAATGAAGCAAGGCCACTATTTTCTTCTGGACGAGATCTCGCTAGCTGATGACTCAGTGCTTGAGCGCCTGAACAGCGTTCTCGAGCCTTCGCGTTCCCTTCTGCTGGCAGAGAAAGGTCCGGTGGACTCCATGATTACAGCTAGCGATGGGTTCCAGTTTCTTGCTACTATGAACCCAGGTGGAGACTACGGTAAGAAGGAGCTCTCGCCAGCCCTTCGAAACCGCTTCACAGAGATCTGGGTTCCAGCAATGTCCGACCTCGACGACATCCTCGAGATTGTGCGATCGAAGCTGAGACCAAGCTTGATTCAGTATGCTGAAGCTATTGTCTCGTTCTCACAATGGTTCAATGACAAGTACAACACCTCTGTTGCTTCTTCAATATCTGTCCGTGATACTTTAGCATGGGTGTCTTTCGTCAACGACTCGAAACACGGCGATCCTATATTTGGAGTTACCCACGGTGCGGCCATGGTTTTCATTGACACACTTGGTGCCAACCCGGCAGGTCTACTTGCTATTTCTGCATCCACTATCGATGATGAGAAGAGGACATGTCTACATCACCTGAGCAAGCTATTGGGTCAAGATGTCGCACCTATGTACTTCGCCGCCATTGACATCTCAAATACGGAGCATTCTTTCCAATTAGGCTCTTTCTCCATCCCCAAGTTCTCGTCGGTAGCCTCGCTGGCGTCCAACTTTGCGCTTGAAGCACCCACCACTCGCTCCAACGCGATGCGGATAGTTCGCGCACTACAACTTCCAAAACCAATCCTGTTGGAAGGAAACCCCGGTGTAGGTAAAACTACGCTAGTCACTGCCTTGGCCAGATCGATTGGCAAACCTTTGACACGTCTCAATCTATCTGAGCAGACAGATCTGATGGACTTATTCGGATCGGACGTGCCTGTCGAAGGGGGAGCCGCCGGTACATTCGCTTGGCGTGACGCTCCATTCCTCAAAGCAATGAAGAATGGCGATTGGGTACTCCTTGACGAGATGAACCTGGCCTCCCAGTCAGTACTTGAAGGCCTCAACGCGGTCCTTGATCACCGCGGCGAAGTTTACATATCTGAGTTGGACCAGACCTTTCACAAACATCAAGATTTTAGAGTCTTCGCAGCCCAGAATCCGCATCACCAGGGCGGTGGCCGTAAGGGTTTGCCAGCTTCCTTCGTCAACCGGTTCACCGTCGTATATGCCGACATATTCCGCCCAGAAGACCTGACGCTCATCTGTAACAAGGTATTCCCTGGAATCGATCAGCAAGAAGTCGCAAAACTTATCCGATTCGTGGCAGACCTGGACGAGCAGGTTGTCAGCCGTCGCGCATTTGGTAATCTTGGCGCACCTTGGGAGTTTAATCTACGCGACACACTGCGCTGGCTGCAACTTCTCACTTCATCAGATTTCCCGGGTTCAGCGCGGGATTTCCTGGACACTATATTCACCCAGCGTTTCCGCACAGAGGGCGATCGCATTCGACTTCGCAAGCTGTTTGAGAACCAGTATGGGGTTCACGAACCTCGCATAAGTCTCTTTCACAGCTTGAGCGCTATGACAGTACAAGTTGGCCTCGGTCTATTACCGCGCGACACTTCAGTTGCACGTGCGGATGCCATGTCGACCCTTCGGACCTCGCGGCTGGGACCAATGGAAGCTCTTCTGGTCAGTGTGAAGCAGAATTGGCCGATAATCGTCGTGGGCCCACCCGGCTCTGGTAAGACTACTATGATCAGCCAGCTGGCAGGCTACGTCGGCGCAGACCTAATCACCTTCTCTATGAATGCTGATGTCGATGCTATGGACCTCGTTGGCGGATATGAACAGTTGGATCCGACAAGGGAGGTGCATCAATGTCTCCACCAGGCGGAACAGCTCGTCCGAAGACATATTGCGACCAGCATGCAGCCCTTAGCCATACATCTTCAAATGTTGGAACTACTTCAAGCTGGGTCTTTGGTACATGGCAACAGTAATATCGCGCACTTCCTTGGAATGCTTTCGGGGCTGAGCCCCGAAGCGACGGAGCTGGCTCAAAAGCTGCAATCATCACTGCAAGCTTCGGGCCAACAAATCGACGGCGCGCGTTTCCAATGGGTCGACGGCATTCTCATTCGCTCGCTCGAAGAAGGGAACTGGCTTGTTCTTGATAATGCAAATCTATGCTCAAGCGCTGTTCTAGATCGACTCAACTCGCTACTCGAGCCTAACGGCTACCTTTCGATCAACGAACACTCTACAGACGATGGAGAAGCACGCATCGTACGCCCCCATCCAAATTTCCGAGTATTCATGACAATGGATTCCAAGTATGGCGAGCTGTCAAGAGCGATGCGAAACAGAGCCGTTGAGATATGTCTGTTGGAGGCTGGCGATGAAGCTTCTAAAGACGATCGACCGGTCGTGCAGTATCCACTTGATTCCGTCATGTATCGGTATCGCCAATTCCAAGAACAAGAAGAGGATTTGCCAACAACATTGGAGTACCGCTTCGAGCATCTGGGACTCCAAGATTCTAGTCTGTTGGCAAGTTTCACTAAGCAGGCCCGGCAAGGTCTCGTGTCAAGTTCTTTTGTCGAATTCAACGGAGCCAACGGCCATTCTACCACGCAACTATCATCCGCAGAGGCTCAAGGAAGTCTCGAGCACCGTATATCACAACATGCTCAATTCTTGCAAAGCACGTGGGCAACGCATATCTCAGCGGTTTACAAGCTGCTTGACGATGATGAGTCAATGAGACTTCGCCCTTATCATCCTCTAGGTAACGAGCTGTTTCTGAGCCGTACCGAAAGATCGAATGCAACCAGTATCTGGAGTGCGTCGATGTATGAGATCATGCTAGACCTTCACAAGATGCAACACGCTATCCAGGATCTTCCATCCGCTCGTTTTGAAAGACGCAAAGAAAAGCAAAGGTTGCCGGCGTTCCTCCATGCGTACTGGCAGGGTCTTGTCAAAGTTGTGGATGGCCTTTCGGCGACAGTTCAACAAACTCACCATCGTGACGTTGCTTTCCTGAAGCCATTGAGAACCTTATTCTGGGCTTTCCACGGACTCACCACGGCGTCCACGTTCGATCGCGCCACGTTCCAGACTTATCTTAAGATGTTAACATCCGCAACTCCTGCCATGACCGAAGAGTCGGGTTCTCTCTCACAAACCCTGAGTACTACACTCGCTAAGCAGATGATTGCATTTGGATCTGACGTTCAGTTAACCACTGGCCTGGGCATGGAACACATCTGGCGAGTATTCAAACCGTCTACACCGACAACTCATTCTCAGCTGGGCGCTGTCCTGGAGCTCGAAAGCTTAGCCGACCGGCTCGATGCGATCATGTGGCAGTCAACCTTGCACGTGGATGAGATGATACAATTACGCGAAAGGGTTGCAAGTTCCCTCACGCTCGTTCGAAAGAACCAAGTTGATGCCAAAGGACTCATCGCGGGTCTGAGTGCGGCCATCTATGACCTTGAGCAGACAATCGGGGAAGACAATATGCTCATTACTCCATACTTCGAAGACGAGTTTGAAGGGCTCTGTCAGTTCCTAGACATAATTCGCCACGACATCGATACGAGCAGACAATCAGGTCTGACCTCAGCTGTTGTCGCCACGCGGGCACGATCAGCCCTGTTCGCCAGGCGAGCGACGAAACTCATGAATCTTGCATTCGAGCGATCTGAGCATGGATCGAAACAGTTCACAAGACTGTATCGCCATCTTGGTTTGACGCGCAAATCAGCAAACGCTATGGTACTAGAAGGCCGATTCCACACTGCCATATTTGCAAAGCTCCACGCTATCGATGAAGTACAGCTAGCACAGCTCGACCGATTCGAAACGGAATTACAGGTTCTCTCCCAACAGCTGTCACTAGACGCTTGTCACATAACGCAGGGCCAGGTGACTGCGTTAGACATGATCTACAAGGACATCTACCACGAGATTATCGCATCGCACTCTAGTATGATTATGGGGTCGGCGATTGGAGGCTCAGTCGCAATATCTCCGGATGCGGACATCCCGAATTTCTATCGAGTGGCTCTAGAGGACGGGATCGCACACTGCAATCCATTGTCGGGTTCTCATATTGACGCTGCAGCGTGGACTCACTTAGGCCTTTTAGGCTTGCGGCTGTATGTCCCAAACTACCCGCACGATCCCGCGCTACGGCCTATGATCGAACGCGATATGTTCAACGCAGAGAAGAGTTCTCTTTCGCATGCCCTCAGCACTTTGAGACAGTTTCAAATCGATTTCACTGGAGAAGCGACAAGTTTCCGCATCCGTCGGATCGAAGAGGCTGTCAATGCTATGGGTCAAGAGCCGCCTGTCCCGGCTATCGTCCGCCCCGTTATCTCCGAGCTCGACGATCTACAGGGCGAATTCACAAACCTACTGAGTACTACACAGCCTCTCTTGAACGGAACAATGTCCGTCCACGAAGCTGCTCGTGATCTCACCTTGCAGCAAAACATCCTTCGCATCACACAAAGACTCACCGAAGGATATCGGGAATACGACGACATCACAGACATAGCAGTAGGCTTCCTCTCTTGTCTACAAATTGGCCTCACTATGGGTCGGAGAGAAGAAGAGAAGAGGGTCGAAAGCAGTGTCAGCAGAAGTTTAGCATACATGTCATCGAGGACGCCTTTCTTCGGGCGGACTCAGCCAATGGAGAAGGCAGAATTGACATTGCAGTCCATGCACGAGAGCTTACGGCAGCGCGAACACGCTATCGATATAAGGTGGCATACCCTTTACTCTTTGCTCACACTCATAAAAACCGATCCCGCGGCCATGTCGACATCACCAGCTAGAGCCCTGATTCATGACTTGTTTGCTAGCTTCTACGTCGACTGGAAGACTAAGCTACTCCAAGACCAAGAGAAAGAGGCCCAAAACTCCAGCTTGTATACGTACCGTGGGCTGGACGACGACGCAGACGAAGAGGACCCAACTTTGTTTCCGGACTATGACGAAGATCAGGGAGAAGTAGTCAGTTCAGCTCGACTATCATCTAACTCACGGGATCATGCGGTCCGACTCGCCAACATTCATGCCGAACTCTTTGGCGGAGACCGGGATGCCTCAGATTCTATCAAATCATTGTTAGAGTGGTGTGCGACTGAAGTGAACCGCATATCGGGTGGTAAGGGCTTCAATAGCAAACACGAAGATGCTCTGCCAACCATATACCTGGTGCTTGAGAAGAAGGTCAACGCACTGTCGACTATTGGCACAGCGAGAACCTATAACTTCTACTTCGACCCTAATCTGTCAGAGGCCAAGCGTCTCATCACGCTCATCCATCGTATCCAGACGCGCTACCGCCAGATTCGTAATATCTGGCCAGAACATGCCACTCTCTCGGAGGTTCTGCGCACATGCGACGAAACCCTCGAGTTTCGACATGTTGATCCTGTGGCCAAGTTCATCACGAAGGCTGAGAAACTTTATGCATACATGCACGAATGGCAGAGAGTTGCCAGCAAAGAGTATAGCACGGCCAACCTTTACGATGATCTCACCAATCTCCTCGTCAGCTGGAGAGAGCTTGAGCTCACCACTTGGGCACGACTCTTCGACATGGAAGAGGAGAAGTATCGCGACGACGCGAAGAGTTGGTTCTTCGTGGCATATGAGACCATCATTGCCGCATCAGAGTGCAGCGAAGATGAGAAGAGTCTACGTACACACGTCAAGAATCTGCTCAAAACGCTGGAGGGATTCTTTGAGTCGACAACGCTTGGACATTTCGAGCAGCGCATAAAGCTTCTAAGACAGCTTTGCCAACATGCAAGCATGCGCATGCAAGACCTTGGCACTTTCAAGATTGTACACGATGCACTCGACAATTTCCTCGCCTACTATTCGCGCCTTGAGAAGCCCGTGCATGACGCTCTTACCAAGGGTCGTCAAACTCTAGAGAAGCAGATGACCGATGTAATCAAGCTTGCAAGCTGGAAAGACACCAACATTGAGGTTCTAAAGCAGAGTGCAAAAGCCAATCATCGCAAGTTGACTAAATTAGTCCGCAGATTTAGGGCACTACTCAGTCGGCCTGTGTCTGGGATTATGGGCGCTGGCTTCCCTGATGGAGATCACCTGCTACAAGACGTCTCTTTGGAGACTGCTAGTACTGCTGCCAGCTACGAAGGACTCCAGCTTTGTGCAACGAGCATTCCAGGCTGGGATGAGAGGCCTGCTCGCTTCAAGAATCTTGCTATCACAGTCTCGATGATGCGCGATCTCACAACACCAAAGGCCGATACTGTCGACGGTGCATCGTACATCACCGAGTTCATTGCTGAGATCTCAAGCTCTATACTTGAGTTGCAAAAGGCGACACCCACGACGCTCACGGAAGAGAACAAAGCTTCCGTACAACACCTCAAGACCCAGAAGCGCAAGCTCTACGCCGATACGATGAAGGAGCTGCGGCGGATGGGTATTAACTCGAATCTAAGCGTGGACACGCTAGCAAAGCAAGATGAGCTTTCGACAATACTCTCTACTATTCCATTGGTCAAGGGAGGTAACATGACCGGACGTTCCGCTGAATACTACCTTCATAAAGCACTCAACCTCATGCCTCAGGTTCGCGCGGTTACCAGAGAACATTCTGGTGACCTGACTCCAAACGACGTAGCAAGAAGCATTGGCTACTTAGAGGGCCTGCTAAATGCCTGTATCCGACAGCGCAGTGTGCTGAGCAAGGCTACGCTCAGTCTTGAACAGATCAAAGCACCTGTGTCACTCGTTGATAGCATCTGCCAGTTGGCGCCCGGTCAAGCTACATTAGTTTCCGACCATGTGGATGTCTCAGGCTTTGTACAGCCGCAACTTCGGTGGCTTGCTGCTATGATCAAGACCGCCGCCGATGTGGTGACTGCTCAGGCTAGGCTCGGGAAGACAAGTGAGCTCGATACGTTGATTCATGAAATGCGCAGTTGGACCAGTACTGCTACAAACCTTGCCGATGCATACGACCAGTCGCCGAAGCTCCCATTCAAAGTCCAGTCCATCGATCGTCAAGAAGCCAACAACACCGTCAAAACCTTCTTGTCCGATCTTCAGCGGGCGTTCAACGCATCCGTCAACAACAACGACATGGCAAAGACAGTGCTTCTGCACCTTGAACCATTCATTTTCTCGTATCCCGCTGCCGATCCTGTCAGATCTCTAATCGATATTCGCATAACAGTTGAGTCTTATGCTCGAGACGTACTCGCTTCTCTGGATCTTGTCCTTGGTTCAATGCAAGATGTGGAGGCCGCGATGGCAGACATACCGACCTCGACCGACGATACGTCCTGGCTCCTCAAGGAGGAACAAGCACTCGCCACTGCGCTTGTTGGCTTGCATTCTCCTCAAATCAGCGAAGCCCTACAAACGCTCCTCGAAAGGATGCATTACCTACACGAAGATGCCAATCTGCAAGTCATCGTCGCTTTGTTTGCATGCGTAAAGCCAATCTTACATCAGTATGTGGCGACGCACAAGTACATTGTTAATCGCTTTGATGCGCTTCATGCAACGACTGCGAATCTACTGCATCGTCTGTCGAAGTCATTCATCCAGATTGGCACGGAAGGTTTCTGTCAACCTCCCGAGAAATCTAACGATCCCCAGAAGGGCAAGGACGATAAGCTTGAATCTGGAACTGGCCTCGGCGAAGGTGAAGGTGCCGAAGACATCTCCAAAGATATTGAAGACGATGAAGACCTCGAGGATCTGGCACAGGAGCAGAAGGGTGAACGTGAGGGCAGTATTGAAGAACAAGAAGATGCTGTCGATATGGGCGAGCAAGAGATGGAAGGTGAGACGGAAGAGATGGGAGAGAAAGAAGATAAGGGCGAGGAGTCTGGCGAGGAAGGAGATGATGATGCACAAAGTGAGGTTGGCAGTGTCGATGACCTCGGCCCGAGTGCTGTTGACGAGAAGATGTGGGACGATGGTGGCAAGGAAGACGACGCGAAGGACAAAGAAGGCAATGAAGATGTGGGAACTGAAGACCAAGACGAGCAAGTTGCTTCCGAGCAAAAGGAAAAGGAAAAGAGTGGTGAGGACGAAAAGAAAGACGAGAAAGACGAGAAGGACGAAAATCAGGGGGGCGAGGAAGACGAGGAAATGGAGACGGAAGGCGAGGAGCAGGATGAGAACGTTGGTGTTGGCGAGAAAGAGCAGATGGATCCGCATGCGAAAGAGGAAGAGACACTGGAACTGCCAGAAGACTTGAACATGGACGGTCAAGATGACGAAGGCAAGGAAGATGATGATCCTGGTGACATGGACATGGGAGATGATCTGCCAGAAGAAGACATGCAGCCAGAAGTCGATCCAGCACTGCCAGATACCATGGACGAAGATGTCGGCCCAGAGCAGGAAGACGAAGAGGAAAAAGAAACAGCCGGTCATGTTGGAAATGAGGAACAGCCAGAAGAAGGACAAGAAGACGAGGGTGATGAGCCGATGGACGATGACGATGCTGTTCCTCTTCCAGATGAAAACATGCCGGACGATGAGGCTCGCGAGCAAAAAGACACCGATCATGCTGATCCTAACGCCGAAGCCGGCGCGGGTACAGAAGCCAATGAAGAAGCTCACACGAACAAGAATGATCAAACATCTGCCAGTGCTGCAAACCAAGACGAAGGCCAGGAAGGCGAGTCAGCTGAACAGCAACAAGCACCGACAGCTGAGGACGGCCAACTTGGGCAAAATGCGGCGCCAGATGCTGGAGGACAGGGAGACCAACCTGAGGAATCTCGTGAGGCGCAGTCTTTCAAGAAACTGGGCGATGTGCTCGAGAAGTGGTACAACCAGCAGAAGCAGATTCAAGACGCCAAAGAAATGGATGAGACTCAAGCTCAGCAAATCGATAAAGAGATCGACATGGCTGATGCGGACTTTGAGCACGTTGGTGACGAAGAACAGCGAGCTGATACGCAAGCATTGGGCACCGCAACTGAGGATCAAGCGAAGACGTTGGATCACGATATGGCTCTGCCAATGAATGAAGAGGAGGACAAGCTGCCATCCCGCCCCGATGACAAAGACGAAGAGAGGACTGGTGCCGATGAAGACCTTGATATGGAGGAGCCTGAGCAGCAACAAGACCAAGACCAAGAAGCTCAGCAGCCGCAGTCGAATGCGATGGAAGGCCAGCCTCAGGCTTTCGTCGGCGAACCACGACCCTTTTCCGATCAAGAAGATGAAGACATGGCCGATGCTGTATCGCTCAAAGATGATGTCTCGTCTACGACGTCGTCTGCTGATAACATCGAAGCCCAGCTCTCGCTTACGCACCTCGATCCAAATACCATAGATCCCACTTTTGCACGCGCCCTCTGGCTTGCGCACGAAGCTTCGACAAATTCGCTCTCTCAACAGCTGACCGAGCATCTCCGCCTTATCCTTGCACCCACTCTCGCTACAAAGCTTCGTGGAGACTTCCGCACAGGAAAGCGACTCAACCTCAAGCGCATTATTCCCTACATCGCATCAGGTTATAAACGCGACAAGATTTGGCTGCGACGTAGCATGCCAAGCAAGAGAAGCTACCAGGTCATGATCGCATTGGACAACAGTGGCAGTATGGCCGACAGCGGAGCCAGCGGACTCGCACTCAAGACCCTTACGCTTGTTACTCGCTCGCTTTCGATGCTAGAAGTTGGCGAGGTTAGCGTCGTAGGCTTTGGCGACGAAGTCAATGTTGCGCATGACTTTGACAAGCCCTTCACTTCCGAAGCCGGTGTACGTGTCTTTGAGCAATTTGGCTTTGACGCCAAAAAGACCAACGTTCGTGGTCTGGTCGACAAGAGCTTGGAGCTATTCAAGGATGCGCGACAGAACGGATCGAGTTCAGCGAGTGAAGATCTCTGGCAATTAATGCTCATTGTCAGTGATGGTCTCTGCGACGATCACGCGGAAATCCAACGTCTCGTTCGCAAAGCGCAAGAAGAGCGTGTGATGATCGTCTTCATCATCATCGATAGCTCTGCTACCGCTCCGTCGGTATCAACACCTGTGCCATCTGACAACCTTGGTGCTCAGCCACCTGTGCCAGTGAAGGATCAAGCCAAGACTTCTATCCTGGATTTACAGTCTGCTGTGTTCACGCCTGAGGGCAAAATTGTGAGATACAAGTACATGGAGCAGTTCCCGTTCAGGTACTATCTCGTTGTGAGGGATGTGAGGGAGTTACCGGGCGTATTGGCTGGGGCACTGAGGCAGTGGTTCGGTGAAGTTGCGGGGAGTGCTTAAATAGGTACTTACATCCTATGCATGTGTATTTGCACTTGTGGGTGGTCGATTTAATCTGGCTGCATTTGCAGTCAAGGAAATGGCGTTTTGATTAGGGAACGGTAGTTAGCAGTTCAAAAGTTTTGTCCAATCAATGTTTGAAGTGCTTTTAAGTCTCTTTCTTAGTAGTTTGAATTCACATTCGCTCATTAGCTGTATTGTATGCAAGGTTGGGATAATCCAACCAATACCACTCATTACAACTAGCTACAAAGCGCACATGCAAAAACATGCCAAGAAATTCTTGATTGCGAGAGGTTAGAGACGGAGTCATCCGCTCGATGTCTTGCTCGAGTGGGGTGAAACAGGGTGGGATGACAGGCAATTCTCACCGCCGAGTGGACGCCTCAAGGATTGGTCAGCATGTACTCAAGCCTTCTCACAGTCTCGTGACCTCGCAAAGAGTCATGCAGAAGCTGAGTATCGACAAGCAATGCTAGTCACGTTTGCTTCAATACTTGGAAATCATGTCAAGGTCGCTTGTCGTCAGAGTGAAGTGCCTACCTCAAGGATACCTATTGGTTAAGAACCACGTTATTTCCAGACGGGATATTGTTTTTATCTTTGCATTTTTTATTGATTTTGAGCACTACAGAACGAACTGCTTGACTTCTCTACTACTTCTTTAGCATCTTATGCTTCTTGCCCACTAGACAGTGTCTAGCACTGACTAATCTCATTATTCTAGAGATCCTCTGACTTCTTTTCCTCTATGATGGGCTGTAACCTAGCGCTAGCCCAAACATCATCTGTTGACTCATCGTTCGTGTTAGGGTCCTTCATCTTCTTATTGTGTCCATGCATCATCACATTGTCAAGCCAAACTTCCATGTTCGCTTGCTTCTGAAATGGGCCATGAACCTTGGCGTTATCGTTTCGCAAAGTATGTTGTAGGAGTGGAATACCGGCTGCTTGCTTCGTTGCAACGCCCGCGAACGCGTTCCGCTCTAGTGTAGACATTACCTAGTAGATGCTGCGTAGATAGCCACGTTGATGTAACGACCAGAAGCAAATCAATGCACGTAGAATCTAGTTGTATGAGTACCAATCTGGCATGAAATCTGCTCACCGCGCATAGGAAAGATGCTCCAAAATTGAGAAGTTCAGGGCGTAATCATCCACGAGCGTGAATCTATCGTCTTCGTTATGTGTTACTATCTCGAATTTGAGTTACAATTACCTAGGTATTCACATGGACTGCCGCTCACTACATACACATGGGCGCGACGCGTGATGCGGCAGTCACTAGGGAGTGAGCGTGAATGACAACGTGCTGGCGACGAAGACTGTGACGATGTTGTACGTCTGCATGGTAGTGCATGGCAGAAGCTTTTGGACCAACACCACCGTCTGTCAATGGTCGCAGTTCTGGCTTCGCTTACATAATGGGGCCCGGCAATTGTCGGCTATGCATGCAGCCATGATCTCTCGTCTACTCCATCTCTGTCCCGTTTTTCCGGTCATCTAGCTCGATGTATTCCCAGTCATCCTAGCAGTTCGGTGCGCTGAATCTCTCCCGCCTGGACCTCTACCACCTGCCCAAGTGTCCTCTACCCAGCACACTTTGTTCCCGTTTAGATCCTGGATGCATCGAGTCAATTCCAGAGATCTTCAGTATTTGTTCTACATGGAGCCCACTAATTCCGACGCGGTTAGCTCTGTCGCCCTCCTATGGAAGATGCTAGACTTGCCACAGGAAGCTCTCGACTCGCTAGATCTGCCCTTCAATAGAGAATGCCTACCATCTTCATTCAGAGTTGATGTTCTCGCGCAGTCAACCGTTGCAGCGTCCGCGCTTGTTGCAGCCCTCTTTTGGTCTCATCGAAATGGATGTTCAATGCCCCGCGTTACAGTTCCGGCAGAGCATGCATGCGTTGAATTCAAATCCGAGCGACTCTATACTCTCAATGGAAAAGCCGCATCGCCCCCATGGGAAGTTATTGGTGGGTTTCATCAAGCAGCCGATGGATACGTCAGGATACACGATTCATTCTCAAATCATCGTCAGAACGCGCTTCGTATTCTAGGACTTCCACCTGACGCATCCAAGAAAGTTGTGGCACAAAAGGTGTCAAAGTGGAAAGCGGTAGAACTGGAAGCTGAGGCTTTTCGTTCCGGAGCTATGATTGCTGCGCTGCGTTCTTTTGATCAATGGGACGCTTTGCCTCAAGCCAAGGCTATTACAGACCACCCAGTTTTGATAACGAAACTTGCAACTTCCGAGCTGTGTATGCCATTAGAGCGAACCCCGAAGGTAATGGACAAATGCCTAGAAGGCATTCGGGTTGTCGAGATGAGCAGAGGTATGCAGCTGTACCGATAGCTTGTAAGGCGTACACTGACCTACCCCGGATCTATAGTTATAGCTGCGCCAGTCGCTGGGAAGACGTTAGCAGCACACGGGGCCGACGTTATCTGGATCACATCGCCGCATCTGTCAGTAGTATCCATTTACGAGCTAACCCTGAAAAGAAGGTGTACTAACCACACATACGTACATCCAGACCCGATCTTCCCGATCTCGATATAGATCTATCGCGAGGCAAGCGCACGGTGCAGTTAGATATATCGAATGCCGAAGGGAGAGCTAAGCTACTGGATCTGCTCTCCACAGCTGACGTCTTTCTCCAAAGCTATCGCCCCGGGAGCCTAGCAGCAAAGGGTCTCTCTGCAGAAGTATTGACCAAGGCCAATCCAAGCCTGATCGTTGCAAGCCTCAGTGCATACGGTCCCGGGAATTCATGGTCGCTAAATCGCGGTTTCGACTCGCTTGTCCAGAGCTGTTGCGGTATCAATGTAGCGGAGGCTGAGCGCCATGGAGCCGGCGAACCGATGCGCGCACTACCTTGCCAAGCATTCGACCACGGTGCCGGCTATCTTCTAGCAACTGGTATCATGGCCGCTTTGTATAAGCGCGCTACTGCTGGAGGCGCCTATGAGGTTATCGTATCGTTGGCTGGTGTTATGAGGTTTATGCGGTCTTTGGGGCGCTACGATGGCAAAAGCGGGTTCGACCGCAAGGATCTCAAAAGCCCAGAGGATGTAAAGCGGTACCTAGAACTGCGGCAAACGCATTTCGGGGAGCTAGAAGCGGTAACCCACTCGGCTCGCATCGAGGGTCTGTCAGTGGGGTGGGATGTCATGCCGAAGCCTTTAGGGAGTGACACAGCACATTGGCTCTAATGACACCACTATCCTATAGTAACTCTTACAATGCTCTCCTCGTATCTAAGCATGTATACAACTTGAGAAAATTCACTGCCTAAACATGACACACGACTCAGTGTTGCTGAATTCCAACGCCGTGGTTCATGACAAGGCCTTACAATGAGGACCAAGGCTTCTGGGACATGGCCGCCATGTCGGCGGCCGAGAACAAACTACACAACCTCAAAGACGGTCCTCCATGGCTCTCTCTCGCTCAGGCCGTGTTCCAGACCCAGCACAAACGATGAGACGCGGGGAAATGCGGTGGCGGCTTCAAGTAGCAGATCTTCTTCACAAACCCTGGATATAAATACAAAGACGTCGACACGGGATACTGAGGATTACGCATCGTGCGATCTCTACCAACTCCGCAATGAAAACGTACGGAGCAAATCTGGTGTAGCTGATGAGCCGAACGTAAAGGGATTGGCTGGGCGGTGGTGCTTGGAGACCGGAGGAGCTACCATCCATGTATACCTGGCCGAGACAGCACCTGAGCTTGTTCAAACATGCAGGGTGGTACCGTTGGCTTCGCCGAGTGGCACAGGTTGTTTATAAGTATTGCAGCGAACTGGTGGCACGTGTACGGAGATAACGCAGTATATCTTGACGAGGAATTTGCGGAGGTGTAGCGCAGGTCTCAAGGTTTCACGTGGGCACAGAAAGGAAGAAGAGTAGCGATTGACGGAGTTATGGCGCGGATTGCAAGACCTACATATATAAAATCGAGAAACCGGCGGTAAGATAACCGGAAGGGACGTGGATGTATGTAGTGCTCGGATCTCTTCATGGGCTCCCGCTACCCCTCACGCAAGCCGGGGCATGCATGCGCAAGAAGATCGTGTCAGCATTGGAGGAGCTACTACTACTATGAGACCACACTCTGATTATCTGCAACTCATACAGTCGGCAATGACAGCCGCGTTAGATGTCACAAGGCCAATGTCAATTCATGAAGTACATGTCCCAATTGCGTACTTGCAGTCGTTGTGGAGTCCACTGACGTCATCACCCGCGTACCTGCATTAGCCTTCGCCCCTCTCTGCCTCCTCCTTGTCGTCTGCCACTAGTTCTCATACTCGACGCCTTCTCAGCCTATTGCCCAATTACCGGACACTGTCAGATATTACGAGACCATATCAGCACCAGAGCCATGGCTGAAGTTGCAGCAGGCGCGTACGTTGCGGCCGAAGTGGTAGAACACACGGCAGAAGCGGGTTACGCCGCGTACATCGTCTCGAAGCCCACGCTCCCCCTCAAAGTCACTTTCAAACGCATAGCCACAGCAACAGGTGACTCTTCGGCGTATGTACTCCACTGCTACTACATAGGGTCAAACTGACCTCCAGACGCTCTTTGGCGCGTTCCAATCACACAGTCACGGTGCTCGGCAACAAGGCTTATATCTTCGGCGGCGATACTGCGAACAACGTTCTTGCGAGCAACCATGTGCATGCCGTTACTCTTGAGCACTCCGGTAAACCGGAGATGGACTACAGCATCATTCCTGCTCTGTCAACATGCGAAGATGGCCGCACGCCAGCGGAGAGATCGAATCACGCAGCCTGTGCTTTCCACGGCAACATCGCTATATACGGTGGCAGTGATAACGCTGGCGATCTCATCGACGAGCAATCGTCTGTATGGCTGTTCAGTCCTGACAGAAAGAGCTGGGATATTCTACAACCCTCCAAGGGAGATGTCGACACTGGAGACATTGGCCCGGGCCCGCGGCGCAACGCGAAGCTGTTCGCGCATGATCAACACGTAGTGTTGTTCGGTGGTGTCGATGGCTCTGGGGACAATGCATCGGACCTGTGGCAATTCGACATCGCTGCGCGCTACTGGACGCAACTTCCAACAGCGCCAGTCGCGACATCCAACGCCGCCTTGGCGAATGGTCAGTTATGGCTGATATCTGGATCCGATCCAATGAGTAGCCAGCTCCATCATATCAGCGTCTCGTCTTCCAGTGAAGAGAGGAGATGGGAGTCCTTCACGTTTCCTACCAATCCACTAGCGCCTGGCCCCCGTGCGCGACATGACGGCGCCTTGATACCGGTGACTACTGGGTGGGGCCGTAACTACCTCATCTATCTCCTAGGCGCACGGAGCGACTCTTCTGCTGATGCATCCAACACGAAGCCAGAAGATCCAAAGCACGCAGGCGAAGTCACCCAATTCAGCGACACCTGGGTTCTCCAGATCCCTGCAAGCGATTTGGAGGCGAAGCCATCAATGACGCTCAAGAACGCCATCAACCCTGCGAAGATCAAAGATGCTATCCGATCTGCGCTGGGGGCTGATACTGGTCACTTGTCGTGGGCGGAGGCGGTAGTACAGACCCCTTCGGAGAAACAACTGGAAGAGGAAGATGGCAAACTGCATCCCGGCCCAAGGGCTCTGTTTGGATCGGACGTCATGGAGAAGGGCAGCAGCATAGTCTTCTGGGGTGGTGTAGATGCGAAAGGGGAGAGAGTCGGTGATGGTTGGGTCGCGAGTTTCGAGTAAGCGAAGGATGCGTCACGACATTTATGGTGTCTATGCATGCAGGATGTGCTAGCACTTTGAGGTCGCCTTCACTTCCATAGTGTAGAGATCTGTTTGGCGAAGAATATCCCACAGTGATAAGAGCAGAGACGAGAACAGCATCATATGCTCAATCGAGCAACGATACCTAGCCCTTTATGCGAATGGACTAGTACTTCAGGTCTTCCGATAGGCTGTCGAGATTGTCACCGTGTTGAGAACCTCTAGCCCAGTGTCCGAGTAATGGGGCACGTGGGGAGATTACAGCCTTGGAATGCCTCGGTGGCAGACAGGAGTTCGGTTTCATGGAAGCTACGTCTCACAACGTCTGTCATGGAAACATGTGGTGTTGCTGTTCTTTGTGGCCAAGAAACGAGAGTGCAAGTGGGGGCCAGCCACGTGAAACAATGCAGCATGTGAGTTTCAACAAAAGTGCGTTCAGTTCATTACATCAAAGAATAGTGAATGCGAGGGCAGTCACAGGCGGGTAACGCGGCTTTATTCTATATACACAAACCCTAATCCCTCTGATAAATACCCGCTATCCAACAAGCTCTCAACAGCGCAAGACCCCATGCCATGCCAATACTATCCCATACAACATTTAGCTTACTACCCATGACCTCCTTCCACCCGATGGCCACCTCAATCATGGCAATGTCAGCGCTCTCGGCCAGCATCAGCATCTCGACGTCGAAGATCCAGCCTTCCGAGTGCATGTAGGGGACAATATAGGGAAGTGCTGGTCGTGAAAACAACTTGAAGCCGCACTGGGTGTCCTTGATGCGTGCGGTGGCCGGAGGCGTCATGATGCGAAGGAGGATGTGGAACGAGTGCATCAAGAAGTTGCGGAGTTTGGAGCGCTGAACAACGGCTTCGCTGCCGACGAGATGAGCTCGAGAGCCGATGGCAACACCGCGCCCATGCTTGTCCTCGATGCTCTGGCAGCCTTCAACGAGAGCCCCTAGGTCCGAGAATCGACTCGCGCCATCCGCGTCGGCGAAGACAATGTACTGGCCTCGAACATGTCGCATGCCGTGCGTGACTGCGCCGCCTTTGCCTCTGTTCTCTTCAAGCGTGACGACGCGGATACTGCCGTGTGGGATGTGTGTTGAGTGCGCGGCCTTGGCGTCGCCGTTCTTCGACCACGGCCCTGGCTTCGACTTGGGGTGTTGGGCGAGTTGGTGCTCCTTTGCAAACTCCAGCGCTTTGTCGACGGTGCCGTCAGTGCTTCCATCGCTAACAACGAGTATCTCCCATCCTCTCTGGCTCTTTTCACCCTTGCCGCCAGCATGCGCATCACCGTATTGGCTCTCCAGGTAGTCGACAGCCTCCTCCAACATGCCTTCCAGCCGCTCCTCCTCGTTGTATGCGGGGACCACGACGCTCATGAAGAGCTCCGGTTCTTCGATGGGCATTTGTGGCGGTATGACGACTTTACTTCCCGGCTCCTTCGCGGCTTGTTTCTTGGCGGCTTCCTTCTCTGCTGCCCATTTGTCCAGCCAGCACGGAAGTTCTTTTGGGTCGCTTCGTGCACCGTCGGGTAGTATCGTCGTGTATTGTTTCTCGGAACGCCGTGGCAATCGCGGAGTGGGCGCGAGGAGGTTCAATGCTATATAAAGCTGTCACTCATGGTCATTAGTCGCGTGCACGTTATCATGTAGGCGCATGTGTCCGTACCCAAAAGCCCATTGCGCATAGCAGAAAGCCCAAGCCTACGAGAAGCACCCATGTTGGGGGCATTTCAATAGCATGCTTCGGGTGCGACTCGAAACCGTAGCCTGCGCCCAATCTCTGGGTATCGAAAGCGCGGTTCTCTTTCGACATGGCGGTTGCGGGGCCCTGACGAGGGCTTGTCCAGTGATGGTGCTACCGGAATGCTGTTGACATTGAGTCGGGATCGCGACCGCTGAGACCGGAACTGGCGGCGGATGGAAAGGTGTGCAATACAAAAAGGGAGACGCTGTAGTGGTCGCGCGATGGCCAATTGGCACGGGAAGATGCAACGTGGAAGCTGACGTACCTGACGGCCCGAGGTTCGTTAGTCAGCCTCGTTCTGCTGCAGCGCCGACCATCACAGCTTCTCCGCGTTGTCTTGTACTCCCTAGGCAGCTACTGCAGATATTTCACGCAAACAACACCTAGATTTGTTGCCTCCAAATTCGCAAAGTCGTGTTGGCTGTTCCCTGGGCCGATGAGCTCAGAAGATGGCCCCCATCAGCGCTGAGTTCGGCAGAGTGGCACACACTAGAAGTCTCGACGTACCCTTTCAAACGGCGGCACCAGCAACACACATCTTGGTCGATAGCAAGCCGTCGGCAAAGGTCTCACGATGCGAGGTGCAATATGCGCTAGAACAAGTGTTCAACGTTACGTTAACATAAAGTATACAGATATGCAGCCTAACGACAACCCGGCGGTTTCAAAATGCCAATCCAAACACCATCGCTGTCTGTACATATGCGTGCGCGAAAAATGGATATTGCTGTCCAGAAAATCTAAGGATCCGAAAGAAGTGCGACTGAAGCGCCAGCATGAAGAGAAGCAAGCTATGCTTCTTGTTCATCTGATCGTGCAACGCGCTTGTCATCTCCGTCTGTATATACTGTAACGTGTCAGAATCAACCTGGTATGTAGGTGTGGTTGAGCACTCACCATGTGGACGAATGAACCAACTGCACAGGAACGCAGTCCCGAAAGTCGCTGCGAGACATACGAAAACGGTCTGTCTGTACGCGCCGACTGTGGCACTGTAGATACCGTTAAAGATGGTGGGCCCCATCACACGTGCAACAGCATGAAGTAAGCCCGTGGCACCTAGCAGTTGACCGACCTGATCTTGCGGCACATGTTTGGTCAATGCAGCGCCAAGAGTGGGCGAACCGATACCGCCAATGGCAGCAATAGCGCCAGAGAGTGCGAAGAGCTCGCCTTTGCGGACAAGGGCATATCCGAGGAAGCCAGCCATGTCGAAGAAGATGGCTGCACGGATAATGGAAAGGTCGAATAGGTCAGAACCTGAACTGCGCATGCGGGCAGCCCCGTTCTTCCCGCGGAAGATGCGGGTCAGAATCGGCAGAATGACTAGAAGAGCAAAAACACGCGAGCTGTTCACGATAGTGGTGAAGCGGCCGCTTTCTAGCTCATGCCAATCAAATTGGCGGCGCGTGTAGACGAGGACAACGCTCATGGCACCCATTGCGACACCAAACATGATGGTATCGGTAGCGGCCAACAGAAGCAGGTTCCAGCGCAAAGCCGACGAGGTGCCAGGTCCAGTCGGCCAGAGAATCTTCAGCGGGCCAAACAGGCTGATAGAGCGTAGCTGGTTGATGAAGTCGCCGGCGGGACCCTGTCGTTCCACTTCCTCTCTGCGCTTCTCACGTGCGGCTTCCTGGCGTGCTTTGCTGAGCGATTCGGGGACAAGGAAGGCAAGGAATGCAATGAAGATCAAGTGGGCACCAAGGGCCATGTAGAAGATGAGCAAAACGGCTTCGGTCTTGCCAACGTACTTCTGGCGCGCATTGATGATGTAGCCTGCCAGCGCGGGTCCGATGGCGATGCCGCCAAACAAGCAAGCGTGGAAGTAGGAAAAGGCGACGTTCCGCTTCTGTGGTGCAACGCAGTCGGAGGCATACGAGTGGGCACATGCCATGCCGACGATGAAGGATCCCGATACGCCCTCCAAGCAGTAGCCAACGAGTATCCAGTTGACGTGCACCGTGTCGGGGAATTTGGCGGCCAGGATTGTGAGGACCTCGCCAAAGAGGGCGCCGCAGGTGTTGGCTATCATGAACTTCTTGCGCCCGTACCGATCCGAGAGGGCGCCAATCTTTGGGCTGATGATGGCGGAGAGTATGCCGGAGCACAAGCTGGCGTACAGGAGGAAGAGGGAGGAGCGCGAGGACACGGCGTCGTTCTGGCATCGGTCCTGGCCCGGGTCCATGGGAGAGGATATGGGGTCGGTCTCGAGGGTCGCGTAGTACTCCTCGCAGACGAGGTCCATGATCAGGTTGATCTTGGGCACGATGATGCCGCCAAACGCGATGGTGAAGAGCAGGAAGGGAGGCAGGAGCCAGAATATCTGCTGCCGTCAGTCGATGCGCCCTCGACGCGAGGGGCTGCGGGGGCGTACCGAAGGGCGCTTCCACCAGGGAAGGCCGCGAAAGTCGGCATCGCCAGCCCATTGCTCGTGCCCGCTGGCAGCCGGCGAGGCACCCAGCAGCGGCGCGTCCTCGTCGTCGCTGTCGGGGCCCGGTGTCTTGGGCGTCTTGGAGCCATGGGCGCGCGCCCTCAGCTGCTGCTCGATGTCGGTGTCCTCGACGAAGGCGGCGTCGGTGTTGGAGGCCATGGCGAGGGCTGTGTGTGGTTGAGCTGGCGTCGTCGTGGGCGTCGAGATCCGGGGTTGCGTAGCGTCGTGTCTGGGCTAGGGGGCCGCGCGCATGGCTACAAGTCGACGGCCAGGCTAACGAGCGCGACTGTAATCATCTTCGGCGTCGGGTGCAAGCGCGGACGGCAGCTTACCAACAACAGAGTGCTCGCGTCATGACGTTGCGATAGTGAATTATCACATCCCACCCATCGGCCTCTCGGGTGCACTGAGCCTCCGCCGCAGCTAGCGCCTCCCTTTCGTTGGCCAAAGCCGGACACTTGTTGCATCTTGCATCATCTGTGCAGCACGGTAGCTTTCATTTCTCGCTTGATTTATCCCGCCACATCTCAATGACGCCCTGCAAGTCCTGCAGCCTCGTTGGTCGAACAAGGTAGTTATCTACACCCGAAGCATACGCAGCATTGCGGTCTTTTTCGCTCACAAGCCCGGTGAGTGCGCATATGTACGTCCTCTTACACCCTGACCGCGCTTCCGTCTTCCGTATCTCCCTCGCAACCTCGAAGCCCGAGACCTCGGGCATAGAGAGGTCGAGGAAAATGAGATCGAAAGGTTGCGGACCCGTGTCGTCGCTGGACCCGTTGGCGTTCCTGAAGGCATCGATGGCCTCTTGGCCACCGCCGACAGGTGTTGCACCTGCCTTGCTACACTTTTTTGCATACATGGCAAGTACCTTGAGGTTTACAGCGTTATCGTCTACCAGCAGCAGCCTAGGCTCTGCCACAGCTGCCTCTGGTGATGTACAGACTGCCGGGTCTTTTGCTTGCTCAGTATGCGCTTGTACGTCTCGGTGGTCGGGTTGGGCTCCATTAGACCTTTCTGCCATGTTCATCTCTGGAGTGACCACTGGGCTGGCGGCTGGCATTGCCAGTGGCTGCCCACCGCTTTCCTCGCCGTCTAATTGGGGGCTCCTCTCGAGTTCTAACCGGGATAGCAATGCTGTTGGCGCAGCACGACATTCGTCGGTTGCGTCTCCGCGTAATTGGCTGCGGCTCCCTTCTACTGGCTGTTGCTGATCATAAATTTTCGCGACTGATTCCTGGTCGGAGTTGTGGCGAAGCTCAGAGGGGGGGACTTGGCTAGGATACAAGTGCGCCAGCGCATCCTGGATTTTTGAACTAGTCACCGCACCCGCAATTGTCGCGACACCCTTCAAAGGCGTTGAGTACTGACTGGGAGCGGTCTGTACATCAGGGCAGAGACGGATGCGCTCGTAATCGTCAGATGCGCCACCGCGAGCCCGCAGTGCACTGTCTTCGTCCTCCTCCAAAACAACAAGCAAGCGCCACGGCGAGGCTCTGCTTGCACTTTCCCAAGGAATGACCCGAATGTGGAACCACCGGCTTAGACTCTTCGTAAGTGAGCCCAACAATAAAGCAGTACATCGCTGGTCCCGTAAGGAGTCTCCTGATCTCCAGCGCGTCGGTGTAAAGAGACTCATGTCAAGCTGGTGTAGCTCAGCAGTACCAGCCTGCGAATTTGAGCTCCCTGACACATCTTCTGATGCCTCACAAAGTGCCTGGCTCGATGGGAGTGTGACAGTGAATGTAGAGCCTTCTTTCTTGTTTGACTCAATCTGCACATCACCACTCAGCATAGTGACTGTTTGCTTGACAATGGAAAGTCCAAGGCCAGTACCTTCTGCAATGGGATCCTCCTGAGAAAATGGGTCAAAGATTGAATGGCGGATGAAGCCGGAAGAGATGCCTTTACCGCCGTCTGTACAAGATATTTTGGTAGTAGCGTCCGTGAGATCCAGTGAAACTCGAATGCAGTTTGTCGGTTCCCCAAACTTCAAGGCATTATTCTCTCTTACGTCAGTACGGCTCATGCATGCGCTTTTTGTATCTGTACAACTTACTATAAGATTTGTCAAGATCGCCCGAAAGCTAGCGGCGGCTACCAGACGGCACGACCGATTGGCATTCGTGTCGAAAGTTATGATGGGATGATAGACAAGACCTTTATTCCATGAGCTCTGACCGGACTTGGACCGCCTCCACCAGTTTACTTACCATGCATCGAAGAATCAGGCTGGACAGCCTTTTTGACGCGATGCCTGTGTACTTCACTGTGAATGATGTCCTCGCAGGTATCCATCAGCTTTACAGTATCCTTGTCTTGCGAGGAAGCTGCCGAATGATGAGGTGCAAGACTTGACGAACGGAGAAGCCCATCGTTCGATGAGTCTGATCTTGGTAGAGGTGCACTTTGCGACCCGGAACTGATGTTACTGAAATATAGAACGCGCTCAATAGTATCGAGCAATGACAAGCCACTGTATCTTGCCGTCTCCAGCAGGTCGCGTTGGTGTGCGTTGTGTTGTGTGTCCGCTAAAAGCTCAAGGCTTGATAGTATGCCATGAAGAGGTGTCCGCATTTCATGTGAGATCGATCCGAGAAAGTCTGATTTAATCTTGTCTATAGCTTGAGCTTCTAGACGCCGCACTTGCGTCATTATCGTGGTGCAGAATGCTGAAATGGAAGCAAGATCCGTCGAGCCGAGATAGACTCTTGACTGATTCTCGGCGAACCCGAGGACCGCACCGATATTACGTTCGTGAAACGCATCCCACAGTGGCATCAAGACGATCTGCTCTGCCCGCAGGAAGGTTTTCGAAAGCTCCTTGAGTATGAGGGTATCTTCAACTAAAGCGACGTCGTCTGCGCTCGTAGCAACAACGATGTCGCTAGTGTCATTGAGTAATTGGAACACAGCCCCATGTGGAAATAATTCAAGCAATCTGCTTGTCAGACTGTGGCTTAGTTCTTGAGGCCTGTGCGCTTTTGGTCCGAGATGCTCGGCTAGCACGTTGGAGCCGTTCCAGATGGGGTTCTTGTTGCTTGAGGAGCCCAACTCTTGGATGCGAACTCCGTCAAATTCGAAAGTATCGTAGAGCAATGTAGCTGAAAGATGGTACAGCTGCAGAGCTGCAGCGGGATAGAGGTTTGACACCAGAACTTCATGTTCAGTATGGCCGCCTGATGAAAGATTCTTGTGAGCAGGCTGAGCCGCCAGTCCTGCGCTCGTACCCATCTTGAGTAGAGAAGCCACACCTTGGTTGAACTTGAGCACACGCTTACCCTCCAGTGCTTCTACTGCTTGTTCCAGATGACGAATAATGTGTGACGCTGTCTCAAACAAGTACGAGCGGTGGGCGTCCGAGAGCCCACCGTGCGACGGCGTTGAGCTGAACGTGAACACAGTGCCAATGTTTGGTCCTCCATAGGGGTTCAAAGGAACACCAGCATAATGTATGAACTTGGCAATATCACCCTGAACAAATGGGAGATGTTTGGTTCTCTCCAATTCAGCCATATCAAGCTCTTCGTAGAGTGCCATGCTCCCGCCTGGCTCATTCTGCCGCGTGATGGTACGCTCGCACAGACCACCGTGATGAGTTACCGACTCGCATCCGTACCATCGCGTTGAGTCTTCTGTGCCAATTAGACACTGCTAGAATTTGACGTATGTCCGCCATGCTGTTGATTCCACTCACCCAAGGTGACCTTGGCTTCATCTGCGTTGGCCCGACTGGCCCCCGAGATGAAGTATTGCGTGTGGTCGTCTAGCAAGCTGACCATGGCCAGATCAGCGCCCGTTTGATGGATGACGCAACGGAGCAACGCAGCAAGCGCGCCGTCTGGTTCATTCTTGACGTTTCTGCCGTGTGGCTCCAATGGCCTGCTCGTGAGGCCAGCGTCCGAACCACGCACGTATTTAACGACAGATGGCAGCACCTGGCAGAAGCGTCGGACTTCCCATACTCGCGCGCGATCGCCGATAGTCGCTCGTTGCTGCTCGGTGAGTTCTGATAATGACATGGCTTGCGATGGCTTTTGTGGTTGTCGATGGTGCCCTCCACGCTGGTCGCACCGCCCAAGGAGAACCCTGCAGACCGGCGGGGAAGTACCTAGGTACTTTGGCGCCTCGCCGGATACCTGTGCGGCCGCGATGTCGTCTCACAGGCTCCGAGTGTCAATATGGTGTACAGGATATATGTTGGTTTCCATCTGCCTCATCCAAGAATATATGCGCCATGTGCAGGCGCCTTTGTAATGTCCAAAGCTCTGTTCCGTGGAGTTTTCAAGCCCGAACTTGAAAGTTCGCCTCCTGGGGTCCATTTGTCGCACGCCGATGATGTCATTGGAATCGCACCACCGTTTCCGCGGCATTGCTGCGCTGTGCGACTCTCCACGAACCAATATCACGCCATGTGCTCGAGTCTCCAGGCTGTACACCAATACTTCCGTTCCAACATTCCTCTTATATGCATCTCCTAATTCACTGATAAGTTTTGGCCTTCGGCTAGTGAGTTCTTGGACCTAGGTACTTTCTGCCAAAGACCCTGCAAGACTCCAATCGCAACCAACGTTGCAAGCGACAAGAGACCAGAGATGGAATTTGGCGATGCGTGACCGACCTCAAGACAACTGTGATGCTCTGGTAGCATCGGTCGCAGCAAGAGGTCCTGCATATGCAGGAACTCAGGCGACGTGGAGCTTACTTCCTGTAAAACCATCGCGTGTCAACTTCGTCAGAAGCCATAGGGGGCCTACTGTTCTCTGAGGGTTATAGCACAGAAGTCTTAACCCCGAGGTCGTCTGAGAAAGCTTCCAAGGTTAGCTCCAGTTTCACGTCGAAGTGTCTGAACTTTAGGCCTGTTCCGGCCCCTTTCTCAGATACCTAAGCGCCTTCCGGTGAACACCACCTGCCTGGTAAGTCCCTTCCTGCGCATGGAGGCGTCGAAATAAGGACTGTAGTGTCGTCCGTCGTTATCACTCACCTTTAACACTGCATACCAGTCTGATCTCAGCCTTCAGCCCGGTAAGCATCAGTCAGATGTCACTCGGTTGGGCATTGTTGCCTGCAACTGATCGGTGATCTTTCCGGCAAACAGTGGGCCTGATATGTTCTTCAGCCGTCTGTAGCCATGCTCGCGCCGCCTTTTATATGCTTCT